AGTCACAGCTCAGAAAGTGCGTATAGAAACTGGTCCCCGGACCCGTGTAGCATCCTTGAGGGTCATACAGTCAACCACCCAGCTATCCCTGCTAGTCTATGCTTCTGGTGTTTGGTGCCAACTTTGCCTCTCTGTTTTGTTTCTGGTATGTCTATTTTGAAGGCATCTTCTGGAAATGCCTTTCCTGCATCATGGCAGACCAGGAATCAGAGAAGGAAAGCTGAATCAGTGGTAATAAAACCTTTAAAGGCTTACCTCCCCAGCACCTGAGACATACTTCTACTAGCTAAGCTCCACCTGATAATGGCTACACAGTCTCCCAAGGTTATACCACAAGATGATGGCCAAGATTGTGGGCTTGTCAGAGTTTAACCATAATGGGAATTGTAATAGCATTTCACTTGTGTTTTAATAACTAAAGCTTGCCTGAGGATCAGAAAAGTAGAACAGCTATGCTGACCAGCCTTTCAGACCAGGCAGCAATAACACACACCTTTAATCTCAGTAGACACACTAGTTTGCCATAGAAACCAGGCAGTAGTGGTACACACCTTTAATTTGGATTAAAGACGAGAGAGGATTATAGAACGGGAGAAAACAGCTCTCAGACACAGTCTCATTCTGAGATTCCTGGAGGCAGGATTGCATTTTGGACTGAGGTCGAGGTAAGAGCCAGTGGCTGACTGCTTAGCTTTTCTGACCTTCAGGTTGAATTCCAATTTCGGTCTCTGAGTTTTTATTAATCGTGCATCAGGGAACCAATGAGCCGTCACAGGAGGAGTGACCATAGTTCCACGCGGTCTTGCAAAGCTATCAGCAAATGTTTGCTAAGGAAGGGAAACATTGACCCACAAGTATAGTTGTGTTTTATTTTCTTATCGAAATAGACAGGAAAGAATTACATACCAAGCCATGCACCCAGAGTAAGGTAATGGCTAGGTTTCTCAGAACAAGTTTAAATTGTTTTGCAGTAAGACTATTGCTCAGAATGATCATCAGTACAATGTAATGCAGTTTCATTGGTGAGATTTTTTTAAATCTCTTATTGGTAAATTAAACGGAGTGACTACTGAGTTATATTAATATTAAGTTTCTATTGAGGTAGCGATCCTGCAGAATATTTCCACGTGAAACATGGCTTGCATCAGATCTGATCTTACACTGGTCTGCCCAATCTAGAGACGGAAGAGGAGTAAGTTGCTTTAGTTAATAATCTCCTTTCATAGGCTAATAATTTGAATTCTCATGACTCCATTCTCAGAGGATTATGGCATTTTCCTAGACTCTACACCACAGAAGACATTTTCCAGCTCCTTTGTCTTTCAGCATCTCTGGAGATGAATGGAACAATACATCTTAAGTTATTTTCATGTCTTTTCTTTATGTAAAAACTCAAAGAAGTGGACATCCCTTTTAGGGTTCTTAGGTCACGGTACTTATTTCTCTGCCATGCCCCTTAGATTTTGCCCGTCTCTCCCCCCATCTCCTTTCATTTCTCCTTTATTCATGTCAGCGTCACAGGTATGCCCTTGGCTCTGATGGGAAGTAGGGAGATAGAAGATGAACCAGTTATCAGTGTATTTTGACATGACCAACCAGGGTTAGTATTAGAAAATTATTGCGCATTTATTTTTTGCTAAATTAAAAGTTCTCAAGAATAACCACATGAAACTTTCACATATAAATATTTATGTTTTAAGGCTTTCTGCCAAAAAAAAAAAAGAATCAGTGAAGTAAAAATGAAAACAAATTGAATTTCTGCTCACGATTACCAATTTAATAAGATCTTTTTTAAGGTTTCAGCATATTTGGCGAAGTGGTTTCTTTCTCAGTCTGGGAAGGCCTGTCTGTGGTGTGCCTGAGGCGACAACTGTGGATGTGTAGAAATGTCCTTTGGTGGGGGGGGGGGGATGATTCCGATGCAGACTGGTTCAGAAACCAGGGAATTTACTGGCCTTTGACACGGCACCATGGAATGAAACCAGAGGAATCTGGTTCACAAAGACTCTGTGATAAATAGGAAAAGTAACTGCCCACCCCTCATAGAGCTGATAGGACCATGCTCTTTTTAGGCTAAGTATTCAGTGAATAAAAGAAACTTCACTTGACCATTTTAAAGAACAATTTATTTTATTATATATTTGTGTGTGTATGTGCACATTTGTGTGGTGCCCACGAAGGCCCCCAGAGGGTGTTAGATCCCCATGAGGTGGAGTTACAGGGGCCATCTATGTGGGTAAAGGGAACCAAATGTCAGTCCTTTGAGAGACCAGGAAGTCTCTTGACCCCTAATGTATGTCTCCAGGTTTCGACATTGTTTTATTAGGCTCTTTCACTGTGAAGGGTGTGAGTACACTGATGGCATTCACCTTAATAACTGTCACCACGCCACCTAGCACTTTGTGACTATTTGATTAAAGCAGCTCGACTTGGATCTTAAGAAGGGACTGGGAGGGGATTGGAGACAGCTCAGAGGTTTAAAACACTTGATGCTCTTCCAGAGGACCTGGCCTTGATTCTCAACACCTACATTGTGGCTCATCTATAACTCTAGTTCCAGGAGACCTGACACTCTCTGACCTCTGTAGACACCAGAGTGTGACATGTGCCAAGGCATCGTATTCTATTCTGTTAATATTCATGATTTATATGCATTACTTTATACATCTATGTATTAGTTAAAATAAACTTAAATTTTATAACCCATTGTAGATGGCAAAAAAAAAAAAACCCATCAAATTTAGCATTTGCCTTACTTCTCAAATAGTTGTTCCTATGTTTTTATTTATCTCAGGGGATGCCATTACCACCCACACAATTTCCCAGGCAAGTGCCTAGGCACAGGCATCTTCATCCTTTTCATCCCTGTCTTCCAGCTCCCGCCGGACACCAGTCCTCGTTCATTTGAGTAATTTCTCATTTTACTCATTCTCCTGCCCGACCATTTGCTTTAGTCTGTTTCCTATTAGTGCAACAAGATATCTGAGTCTTGATAACTTTGTAAAGAAGAGATATCTTTAAATCGTAGTTCTTCAGGTTCAAAGACACGACGCTGGCCTAGCCTGGCCTCCGACGAGACATTTGCAGCAGCTGAAATCAGAATGATGGCAGCATGTGTGAGGAGGAGATCATCTGGCAAAACAGGAAGCCAGTGTGGTGGGGTCAGGTGTGCTTTTTTTCTCTTTTTTTTAAACAGTCATCTCTTAAGAACATGATCTGATCTCTCCTTATTAGGCCTCACCAACTCTCAGTGTCTCCATCTGAGAACAACATTTCTATGTGAACCCTTGGGGGAAACACAGAAACCATATCCAAATGATTGCATCATTTTTCTCTGTTGTGTTGGCTACTTCATCAGTCCAGACTGTCATCTCCTTAGAAGTGCCTCCCAACTGTTTTGGATATACATGTAT